TAAAGCAAGCAATATAAATGGGGAACCACCATTATCATTATTGTCATCATCATCATACTTTGGGGACAATAGAAACCCAGTTCCTATTAGCACATCCCAGCAGGCACACAGCTACATCCTAATGCTCCTCTGGGTACAGGTGCCCGTGCCAACAGCAGCAATAGAGGATGTGCTCAGAGAAAAGCAACACAAATTAACTCCGGCAGTCATCTGGCTAATTTTCCAGAATCCATCTTAAAAACAACAGCATTTTTCAGTGGCCAAAGAAGCTGGAAAATGCCGGCAAATGACAAAATCGTGGTTGAACCTATAGCAGTCATGGCATACTCAATAGCACTGCCCCTGGGATATTTTTTTTTTTTTTTTTTTTTGTAGGCTCACAAAGGAACATCTGTGTTTACATCAGGGAATGTGAAATACAGGCCCCAAAGAGAAATAACTAAATGGGATTAAAGAGCCAGAATCACAGTTTGATGCGCCCATCTAATAGCAAAGAGGGAGACAAATCATGTGACGGACTGGTAGTTACAAAATGGGTAAATACATGGGGATAAAAATAAAACCCAACTTCTACAGTACAGAAAAATCCTTGCCTATTAGCAGTGCATTTCATGCATGGTGTGTCCCCTTTTCTCGCTCTCTAAATGCATGTGTGTATTTAGGAAAATGAGGAGGAAGAGAGACAAGGAGGATGAACAGTGATAGAGGGTCACTCTTCTTATAGCGTGTCCCTACAGCTGAATTTCCTCAACTAGGAGGACATGAGACAACAGAGACTCCCCCTGAGAATAATTTTGATGATTTGCCTTAACAGTTGCTAGAATTTTAATTTTTCTAATTGTGTCACAACTGCTTTACCTTTTTAACATCTTCACAAAACATACCGTATAGGAGATCTGCAGCGGTAAAACCCAGATGAAAGTTTTATTTAACAATCACCTAAAGAAAAACACCCCCCCACACCCACACACACACTTCGCAGTTTGCTGAAGAGAAAACATAAATTATTAAGTTTGCATTTATAATGTTAAAGCAAGTAAGTCTTTCTGGACATAAAATCATAAGGAAAAATAGACCTACTTCACTATATAAAACTTTAAAGTTGTACAGGATGTTAAAGAACAATAAGCAAAGTTTCTAAAAATCAATAATAAGCAGGGAGATAAAAATGTCTCTGAAGTTATAATTTAAAAGTCTACTGAGTTTTTGACAATATATATCATGATTTCCCTTGGGGGATATTATGCCACCTCTGAGCAGCCTTGTAAAATAAGTGGTACCAAGTATAGTTAATCTGGAATGTGAAGAAAAATAGCCTTTTAGCTACTGGGGCTCAGAAAATGATATCCCAAAGTGAAGGCTCAGAAGTAGCTCCTTTGACCTTTTCCTGCTTCTCTATCCCTGGCCTCTTATTCTTCCCTAAAGCAAGAAACTAGAATCCCTCTTCCCCAAGGCAGGTCAGAGAAACAAGAACCTCTTTTCTGCAAAGCAAACATAAGCCTAAAGATATCATTCTAACCTTCCCTCACCTTTCTGTGTAACAGATGACTGTAAAGAAACAAACCAAAACAAACAGACAAACCCTTAGCTTATTCCAAAGGGTCTTAATCATACGGGGGAGGAAGAAATGCTACAATAGAGAGGCCAGAGATCTGAACAAACAGGCCAAAGTTTCCCCACTCATTCTACTAGATTGTCCCTCTTTTGTCCAATCACACTTCTCCTCTCTGGCTGTCCATTCTTCATTAAACCTAAGCATAATAATGCATAGTGTCCCCTGTATCTTTAGGTCTTCATTCTGAAAGCTCTTGTGTCACCTGAAGCTTTGCTTAATATGTTTATGCCTTTCTCTTGTTAACCTGTCTTTTGTTATAGGGGGACCGGCCATGACCCTTAGCGTAGGAAGGAAAGGAATCACCCTCTTTCTCTGCCCCGACCCAGTTTCCTGGGTGACTTGTGCAGAAGCAGACACTTAGAAGTTCCCTGTGCTTGTTTTAATGCTGTGCTGCTAGCAGCTTGAAATTTTTAATCACTTTTGCAAAAAAAAGGCCCCGCGTTTCCATTTTGCAATGGTCTCTGAAAATTATGTCCTTGTCTGGTACCTGCTGTCCTATAAACTTCTTATCTATGAGGCAGTAAGTTTGGAACTGAAATGTATACTATGATGCTTAAGAAATAACCCTAGTCCTGAAAAGTGTATAGTCTACTGTATTTCCCTGAAAATGAGACACTGTCTTATATTTATTTTTTCTCAAGAAGACACATTAGGGCTTATTTTCAGGGGATGTCTTCCTCTCTGTGCCAAAATGCATGGTGTGGCTGTACAGATACACTGCATAGCCACGCCCATCACTAGGTCTTATTATCGGGATAGGGCTTATATTTAACACATGCATAGAAATCCTGCTAGGGCTTATTTTGGGGGTAGGTCTTATTTTCAGGGAAACACAGTAGAAGTAGAAGTCAGCCTAGCAGTCAAATTATAATGAAACCAAGTAGACAAACATGTGATAAAGATGAAGCTGCAGAGGAGGGAATAGTTACTTCTGGATGGGATGAGGTTAGTAGCTGTGGGAGAGCCAGTTTTTAGATAGACCTAAAAATGAAGAGGATTTGAACATTGATGAGGGGGATAAATGGCAAAGTGGCAGTGTGGTGTGGGAAAACACATGAAGTTGTTTGGTTTGTATAGAGTAAGGAGAATTCAGGCTGAAAAAGCTTGCTGGCTTTGGCTATAGGGGAATTTTGAATATCTGACTAATGAAACTGTAAATAATTCAACTGGAACTGTGAACCAGGGAAGGGTTGTAGAGAAAGAACCAGTTGGTCACAGTTATAATTAAGGAAGATTAAAGCTGGCCTCAGGCAATGACGGACATCCTGTCACCTCTCTAGACTCCAGCCTAGTCATACATTTACAAATTATGGGAGCTGGATGTTTTATGGAGTGGCCAGATGGAAAGTGACATCAAAATCAGTACCCACCTCTTTTTTTATGCAGCCAGTAAGACCCTGCCTGCTGTAAGTTGACCAGCCTAAAATTTTCACTCACTCTGGAGAGTCACTTTTATTGTTTAAGGTTTGAATTGTTAGAACAAATCATGAAAACTAAGGCAGCTCTGAGAAGAATCTACCTCCCAAAAAAGTGCAGTCAGAGTTGATTAAAACACATACATGCACACACACAGAGGGGGACATCTCTATCTCCCCAAGAGTGTTGCTACAGTCATTCCAGATAGCATTGGTGCTCAGTCCATTTCTTTATTTAAAAAAAATCTTATAGAAGCTAAAATCAATATCATGCATGTTCAAGATTAGATCTGTGGGTCATCATAACAGTTTTGAGATACACAAAAATCAAGAAATATAAAATTTGCATGACAGAAGTAAATGAAGGCCTCCTGGCAACACCCATATGCCAAGCAAGTTGGAACTTGCAAGGGTGAATCAGAAAGGACACTGTCAACTGTGTTTCTTGGAAGTGAAATAAAGGACTAGGATGCAGTCTATCTCTAAACTTTCATGGTGACCCCCACATATGACACAAATTTCATTGATTACCATGTGGGAGCTTTTTCAGAGCTGCATCAGAAGAAACCAATAACACTTACACTTTCTATGTAGCGGGCTAAAATGAATACTCATTCTCTGCGTCTCTTTCTGCCTTTTACCCTACACATGTGCACACACCCCTATACACACATATATAGCAATCCATGCATACACACATACATACTCCCCTTTATATCTGACATCCAAGTGATTCAATTTTTTTTATAAATTATGTTAAACATCAAATAGAAAGTTCTTCTCCCTCTTCTAAATGTTTCACCCAATGACATTGAAAAAAAAAATACCAACACCCTGCTGGCAGAATCACACTTCAATTTATTACTATTTAACCTCACATTAGAATTATATTATCCATTTAGCAGGAATATAAAAGGTTTTCTGTGGAAACGAAAAATGAATAAAAGATAAAGTAGAAACAAAACAAATCAGCCACAAGAAGTAAAAAAATATTAAATTAAAATATTAAAATTGCACCTTAAGAAAGTCCAACAAATACTTGTTAAGATGCATCACTAAAACAAAATGTCAATTGGCTGTTTTAGCTCCAAGGTAACCATTTCTTCGCCAAACATTAAAATATGAGGTCAAAATGTATAACAGTCTAGTTCTCAAAAATGAAATCCTCTTCAGTTATATACTCTCTTTAGCTCACATCATCTGTGCATCAATATTTAATAATGGTTCTGTTTGTTTTAAAAAGATACAAAGTTACATAGGAAAAAGTCATAGAATTGCCAATATTCTTTTCAATAATAAAATATTTCCTTTAAAATAAGCTTAGAGAGAAATAAATTCATGTCAGTGAATATCAGTATATTTCTAAGAAATGAAATGCTAGCTCTTTTCCCCCCAATTTCTACCCTATATTGAGTTATTATGATAATATATAATATAAAGGGAGAAAGGGTTTTGATATTTCAGAACTGTAACATAAAATGAATTTAATTTGGGAAATTAAACTGAGGATTAAAGAATAATAATCTTTTTCTGGGAACTTTTCCTTCTTAGTCATCTGACCTTTCATAGGGAAACTCACACAAGAAATGACTCAGTCTTAGAGGGTGGGTCTGTGTAGAAGAGGTACCATAAATATATTAACCAATCAATAGTTAGAGATGAACTCAATAGCCTTTTTTGTTCAAAAAAGTGCTCTTTTTTTTTATTTTCTGAGATGCCCTCCTCTAGAAAAGCACAGTGAATGGCTAAAAACACATAATAAAATTCTGAATTTCTGACTGCGCCCTATATCATGAAAATTGACACCAGAAAAATAAAAAGGGCCTGTCCACATCCTTGCATGGCTACAAATGTGTAGGCTATTAAGACCGACGTAAGGCAAAAAAATCTTCACCATGTGGAATTTCTGATAATAGGACTGAAAAGAAAATAAATCAATGCTTTCAAAAAGAGGAAAGAAAACATCCTACCTTTTTAAAAATTCCATGTACTCCGTGTGCTTGATGAGTCCTGTCCTCATCATTATCGTCTGAAAACATTGTCGGTCGATGGCCCAGAGCTTCACATTTACAAGAGCTGGAGAAAAAGAAACCGAATAGGGAAAAATTAATTAGAGAATTTCAACTGTAAAACAACGTCCTGCAAAAGAGAGGAGTTATTCGTGAGAGAGATGAGAATGATCAACTTTTTACACACATTTAGAGCTCATATCATAATGCTGTCCTGTTTTATTAAAAAATCATGTATGCTTACAGGTAAAATGTAGTTTATCATTTTCCATAGTGGTATTATTGTCTCTTAGGAAGGTTCCTGTCATTCTGGGCCCCTCAGGACATGGCAGTCTCTAAGCACATGTCAAAAGTATTTAGCAATTCAAGGCTATACATGAAGAAAACAGCAGGAAAATAAAAAGTATCCACAAGTAATAAGATACCCTGGTAATTACCTAAAAAGATGCGAATGACTCATATGACGGTATTTTAATGATAACAAGTAGAAGTAAAAAAAAATCAGTTTCATGTTTGGAGAACATTTTGTACAATAGAAATAATAATTCCACAATGATTTCCACATCAATCTTGTTTCACATAACATGACCTGTTTTCAGAATTGCACGGAAGTTTTCTTAGATGTTTGTCAAATGTTAATCTCTACTCTTATATACCACTGTCTTTGACAATGCATAATTAAATGTCAAAACTGAGTACCAGAGGCATCACCATTTGATCTATTAAGCATATGACTAATAGACAAGTTTTAAAGTTTTAGAAAGAGACAGAGGTTATTGAAAAATAGATCAAGGTAAACTTAGATTTTAAGATATGAACACAGTCAAGAATCTTAGTAATTGTTTTGGCACAATGGGTATGCAAGGGGGTTATTTTATTATTCTCTGTACTTTTATATATGTCTTCAAATTTTTATAATAGAAAATATTTCAAGTTAGCACAAAAACTAATGAAAGCCAATTCATATATCGTCCTTATGGGGGGTGGGTAGAGAAAGAGTGTCGGGGGGTGGGGGTTGAGAAAGACCACTGAGGAGGCCGAGATAGAGTTAATTGAGCTAAACATAAAAAGATGGAAACATGCAAGTCTCTGCTCTTCACAGTTCTCAGACTGAACCCCGTGGACGCAACTGGGAGGGAAGGAGGGGAGTCGTTTTGCAAACGGGTGGCTAACATGTAGAGAATGTTTTGTAAATGTTTTGTAAATATTTTGTAAAATTTTGTAATGAATATTTTATAAATAAAGGAATATTTAGTTACAATTTTCCCTATATATGACAACTTTGGGGGGAACTTTTGGGACATCCTTTAACTTACTTAAGAAAAACTATAAGACTGGATGACATAGCCATGAAGAAGTGGAGAAATCAGGAAAATATTCCTAACAGGTGACCTGTAAGGAGGAGCTTAAAAATAGGAGGAATTGAGCTAAAAAAAAAAAGAGGTGGATGAATGATAACTGGGTGAGGGACGTACATAAACAAGAGCAGAGCTGACAGAGAGCTCAGGAGGGTAGTGGGGGAACAGACTGAAACAGATGCAGTTTCTCTGTGCAGGGTCGCTGCACAGTTGGGGAATAAGTTGATGCAGAAGCCAGATTAACAGAAAGCTGTTCGAGTCCTTAAAAAGACAAAGCAAAGCAAAGAACCAAAATGGATCAAAAGGCTACACCATGGGCACATCAAAACATTTTTAAATGCTTATGAGTCATAGAAGAGAATAAAGTAAATATTTCCATATTCATAATCACTCTTAATGATTCTTAGATATTTCACTGTCTAGCTACACCTCCCACTCAAGGACAAATTAGGATGCCCCAACCCGTTTTTTTATTTTAAAAATCACGACAATAAAAATAGCTTTTAACACTCATATACAATACATATTTTGATATATACATATCAATATATATTTTTAAATGCACCTTAAAGTAGTGAGTAGAAGTGGAATGTCTCCATGAAGGAAAGCATACATATGCTTTAAGGCTTCACTCTGCAGAAAGACTTAAGAAATTTGTACTCCCAGAAGCGGTATGTAAAATTTCCATTATAGGCTCTTAAGCCAAGAGATATGACCATTATGACAGCTGAGAAAGATCTATCTAGAAGGGGCACAAATTAGATTAGGAGAGACCTCAGCCACCAGAATACAGACCAAAAATGGTGCTGCCAAGTAACAATTTATGTGAAGACTGCAGGCAGAGCAGTAATACAATGAAAACTCTGTGTGAGCAAAGAGCACCAAGCAGAGGCCACAGTCAGGAGTCAAGTCAGGAGAGTCCTGGTGAATGTGGCAGCAATGGGAATAAGAGCGCAAAGTTCTGGAAGTCCTGTGCCTGCACATGTGTGTACATGTGCATGTGGGAAGGCGTGAGTGTGTGTGTACTGTGATCAAGCTCTCTGCAGCATTCTAAGTCTGCAGCACATACATCAAGCCCAGGCATCGTCCCTGGTTCCCCACGGATAAACAACCTCTCTGTCCTGTGAATTGCTACAGTTTTTTCTATCTGGTATTCTTCACTGGTGTTTAGTTCATGTTACCAATATGGTTATTTATCTTTCATAGGTCTATGTTGTGTTCCCTCACATAAATCTGTATGTTCTTTCAGAGAAAATTCCCCTGTCTAATCTCTTATTATCTCCCTTTCCATTAGAAATTAGCTTTTCCTTTGTGAAGTGTTAGTATTGGTTGATTAATGTAATTTATATGCATAAAGCTCACCTGCTGAAAAAAAAGAGAGAGAGAGAAGAATGTAAGCGTAGGTGATCTCTGATGTTACACTCAAATACCTAAACAGAATTGATCAGATTTCATTATCCATGTGTTGGAAAATTCAATAATTTCATTTTACTTTTTGTTTCCTTTTAATATGGGCTATTGTCTCTATCTGGAATTGGCCTTTCAGATATTTTTGCATGATAATGAACATGGCTTGATGAAATTGTAGATCTGTTCATGACCTTGGGCAAGATGCCAAAACCTTTTTCATTTTTAGCCTTGGCCAGCATCCACATTAGTCAAGTCAGTATCTTGCAGGTGGACAAGCATGACTAATAATAATCACTTTGCCTTATTATCAAAAACATGGTTATATTAGAGTTGTGATTAACATGTTTCTTCTGAAACAGCCTGCTGGAGTACAGCTCTGTTCCTTCTGCAACTTAAAGAGAGTATTTTTAAAAAATGTCTTCATTTACCTTTGATCTTAGGTGGTATATTAATCTCTATAGAGAGTAAGCACATCACAACTACAATTTCCATAATTTTCATGATGATTACTGTTGGTGAACATTTAATTCTGAAGGGCATAGAGCAGAGATAATAATGGGAAGGGATTTTCCTTTTTGTTCAAATATTTATCTAAATTATTCACTGAGACATATACAGGTATCATTTGTTGGGATAAGGCCCATTCCACTTACTGGAAAGCACATAAACTTCCATTCCTCTGATATCTGTAATTGTCCAAGTATCCTGGGAAAACCTTCTACATAGGAAACAGTTGGCCTTCATTAGGGGACACTGAGATTCAGAGGAAGGAGCTGTAAAATTATGTTAGACTATGAGACCACAAATCTTGGTTTGGCTTAAATTCTCCTACTGGGGAATTCATCTGCTGTTCAATTCAAATTCTGGAAGAATATTGAGAAAGCATATGTGATTATAAAGCACTTATAGACTCAAATATTTATTCAGCCCATATTTATTTTACACCAATATGGCAGACATCAGGACTAGATGTAAAGGAGAGAAAACAAATTTACAGCGCCTGCCTTCAAGAAAACTAGTGATCCAGTACAGAAGTGGATGAACTATTGCTCGTGTCAAATCTGGCCTGTGGTCTGTTTTTGTACAGTCTGTGAGCTAAAAATGGGGTTTGTATTTTTAAATGGTTGAAAAATTTTAAAAGAAGCATATTTCGTGTTACACAAGAATTACATTATATGAAACAAATTTCAGTGTCCATAAATGTCTTACTGGAACACAGCCATATCCACTAATTTACATATTGAACTGAGTAAGTGCAACAGAGACCATATGGACCACAAAACCTAAAATATTTCCTATCTGGCCCCTTACAGAAAATACTTGCTGGTTCTTGGTCTATCATAAAAGAAAAACAAATCAAGAGATAAGTGTTACCGTGGGTAATTTTCTGGCATTGTAAATACACAGAAAAGGCAATGCATACTTTCTATGGGGTGGAGCTGGGAAGAGCTGACCAACAAAGACTTAGCAGGAAGAGAATTATGCAAGCCAGGGATCTACACATGGTGTTATGAACTGAATGTTGGTCAAAATTCAAATACTGAAGCCCTAAGCCCCAATGTTACAATATTAGAGAGGGAATCCTTTGGGAGATGACTAGGTTTAAATGAGGTCATGAGGGTGCAGCCCACATGATGGGATTAGTGCCCTTATAAACAGAGGAGTATACAAGAGATGGAGCTCTCTCACTGTGTGTGAACACGTCAAGAAAATGCCACGGGAGGAACTAACCAGGAAGACAGACATCACCAAAAACTCCACCATGGTGGTACCCTGATATTGAACTTTTAGAAATGTAAGAAATCAGTGTTGGTTGTTTAAGCCACCCTGTCTGTAATACAGATGGTTTTTAATTCACAATGGTTCCACTTATGGTTTTTCAAATTTACAATGATGTGAAAGCAATATGGATTCAGTAGAAACCATACTTTAGCACAATTTTCAACAAATTACATGAGATATTCAATACTTTCTGTTAAAATTGGCTTTGCGTTAGATAATTTTACCCAACAATATGCTACCATGAGTATTCTGTGCATGTTTAAAGTGGAGTAGACTGGCTCAGCGTCTATAGCTCAACCGGCTAAGGCGCCAGCCATGTACACCTAAGGTGGCGGGTTCAAATCCCCAGCCCGGACCCGCCAAACAACAATGACGGCTGCAACCAAAAAATAGCCAGGCGTTGTGGTGGGCACCTGTGGTCTCAGCTACTTGGGAGGCGGAGGCAGGAGACTTGCTTGAGCCCAGGAGTTGGAGGTTGCTGTGAACTGTAATGCCACAGCACTCTACCTACGGGGAC